CATTGTTGTTTAGATTTGCATCTCTCTAATGGCTAATGATCGTGAGCATTTCTTCATATGTTTGTTCGCTGGTGATCTACATTTGAAAGCACACAACCATTGAAAACCCTATGGCGCATACTTCTGCTCAAACGCTCATCAGGTTGCCATGGGTTGGAATTGACTCACTGTAACTGGTTTAGGATTTTTGTTTTGTTTTGCTTTATAGAAAGTCAGTGTACATACTTTTTTTTTTTTTTTTTCTTTTTTGCTAGCCCTCAGTAGAAGAGCTACAACCTGCCACTTAACTTATAAATCTTTTTTTTTCTGTTCAGTTAAGCCAGGTACTCATCCCTGGATTAACAACACAAACCAGAATCCATCATCTTGCACTGAGGATAGAGTCAGCTCCCTGGAAGAGCTTAGCTGGAAGGATGAATCAGAGCCAAATTCATGGCACTATTAGAAAACAGGAATGGCAAGAATGAATGTTGAGGGTGGAACTGGCATTGTCTGCTACAGAGAACAAGGGGTTGGGCAAGAAGGCAAAATGCAATCACAAAATGTGGATAGAGCAACCAAACCAAAACCCACTGTCATAAAGTTAGTTCCTATTCATAGTGACCCTATACGGCAGAGTAGAGCTGCTCCATAGGGTTTCCAAGGTTGTAAATCTTTATGGAAGCAGACTGCCTCATCTTTCTCCTGCAGCGCAGTGGCTGGTGAGTTCAAACTACCAACCTTTTGGTTAGCAGCTGAATGCTTTAACCACTGTGCCACCAGGTGCCTTGTGGATTGAGGAGGAAAGATTTAAAAAAGTGTCAAAGATAACCCCAAGATTTTGAGACAGCTTGCCTAGGAAGATATTCCATTGACCAAAATCAAGGAGTGAGGAAAAGTTCAGGGGCTTACTTTTGAATATTTTTGAGTTTGCTATGATAAGGGACCATCCAGACTGTATTGGGCCTTTGTTCTTGGGCTCAAGGTCATGCAGAATTGATCCCAGGAGAGAGGCTGGTGAGATAGTGATTTGTCTGCTTTTCACAGACAAGTGGAAGTGGAGGTCTAGAGTCCACAGGGGAGCCAGCTGGGGCAGGGACTGAGAAGGCCAGGTTGGGTCCTGAAAGCAGGGCCTTCTCCAGCAAAGCTGTTGCCAAGAATTTATCGGCCAGGTGTTCCTGCCCACATGGACAGTGCACAGTGACAGGGAACAAGGGTAGTCGCTGCATTATTTGAAATAATAAGACACTGGAGACAGTCTAATGTCCATCACTAAGGAGTGGGTTAAATTAATTTTGACACATCTGGTATATGGAATCTCCAACAGCTGTGAAAAAGGGGGATGGAACTGCTACACAGGCCACTTTGGAAAAACTCTCTCAGATGTATAGTTAGTGGAAGAAGCAAGATACAAAGGTGTACATAGTATGCTGCCACTTGTGTTAATATATACATATATATATATATATATATATATATATCTGAATGTAAGCTTATATATCTATAAACTATTTCTGGAAGGTATCAGTAGAAACTTTTTAGAGCATTTGTCTCTGGACAGGGTCTGGAGCCCTGAAAACTTACCCTTTACTTTTTACTTTGAGAGCTGCTGGAGTTTCTTTAACTGTGTGCATTTATTACTTGTCAAAATAGTGTTGTTGCTATGTGCCGTTGAGTTGGACCCGACTCATAGTGACCCCTCCTTGGGTTTTCCAGGCGGTATCACTACAGAAGTAGATTGCCCAACCTTCCTTCCAAGGAGTGGATGGTGGGTTTGAACCACCAGCCTTCTGGTTAACAGTCAAGTGCCTTAGGCACTACGCCACCAGAGCTCCCGTCAAAACAGAAAAGTAAATAAGAAAGAGGATCTTGGGCGTCAGGGATTGTGGTGAGACTGAGGATGGAGAAGAGGCCACTGGGGGGTGTTAGAGAGTTTGCACTCAGCAGTGGTGGGCCAAGGTCAGGTTATTGTTATTAGCTACTGAGGAGTTGGCCTTCAATTTATGGTGACCCCATGCACAGCACATTGGACTATTGTGTTCCACAGACTGATTTTTGGAGGTAGATTGCCTTAGTCTGCAAGCTCTGCTGAAATCTGTTTAGCATCACAGCAACACACAGACTCCACTGACAGACAGGTGGTGGCTGTGTGTGAGCTGCATTGGCTGGGAACAGGGCAGTAAATGGTCCATAGTAGAAACTGAGCCACAGACTCCCCATTTGAGAGAATAACTGAGAGTACAAGGAGATGAGGCTAGATGGTTGGGTTTTCCAATCACCGCTCTCATGACTCTACTGATGGTCCTCAGTGCTCACTTCACAGACGTGGTTTCCAACTGAATCCCTTGTCCTTTAGTTGCTAGAGCTAAGGGAGGTCTACACAGATCTCTGGAATTTCTCCAGAGCTTTCTGCTATTTCTTGAAAATCCTGGGCACAGGCAAGGACTACCTTCAGAGGGGTGATACTTGGCAAAATTCCATAGCCAGCAGCTGAGAGAGAGGCTGTGGGGCAAGGTGCCTAGGAAGAGATCATATCTGACACTGAGTCTTCCTCAGCTACAGCTGAACAGGCTTCAATAACCAGTTCAGGGCTCCTGACCTATGTTGGGGCAGGAGGAAGGCTGGTCTCTGCCCATCAGCAACTGTTCAAGCTGTGAGGCCTCTGGAGCCCAAAGGGAGAGCAGCCCCTCAGGGAAGAGTCAATGCTTGAAACATAATTTGATGGTCTACGCAAAAGCTAACAAAATACTCAAACTAGTTGCCATCAAGTTGATTCCCACTCACGCTGACCCCATGTGTGTCAGAGTCAAAGTGCTCCATAAGGTTTTCAAGTCTGTGACCTTTGGGAAGGAGATCACCAGACTTTTCTTCTGTCTGAGGTGCCTCTGAGTGGACTCAAGTCTCCCAACCTTTCAATTAGTAGCCAAACACTTAACCATTTGCACCATCCAAGGACTCCAGTCTAGACAAACAGGGAGAATATTTACCAATAATAATAATAATAATAATAGTAATACATAAAGTAACATACAATCCTAGACTCTTCAGGCTGGGTGGAACCATGGAGATCATTTGTTTATTGTTTTCTGAATCTTGTCCATTAATATACTAGTCATGTAAGTCACTTCAGGTAAGAAGGGTTGAGGTCAACTAACTGTCCCTCCTTAAAGACTAAGGTGCACCTAACCCAAATCATGGTACTTTCAATTGCCTCTTATGCATGTGAGAGTTGGACAATGAATAAGGAAGACTGAAGAAGAGTTGATACTTTTGAGTTGTGGTGTTGGAGAAGAATGATAAGAGTACCATGGACTTCTAAAAGGACTAACAAACCTGTCCTGGAAGAAGTGCAGCTGGACTGCTCCTTGGAAGTGAGAATGGCCAGACTTCGTCTCACCTACTTTGGTCATGTTGTCAGAAGGGACCATTCCCTGCAGAAGGAGATCATGCTTGAAGGGTCAATGAAGAAGGGGAAGGCCCTCAATGAGATGGATTGACACAGTGACTCCAACAGTGGGCTCAGGTATAACAAGGATCATGAGGCTGGCACAAGACCGGGCAGTGTTTCGTTGTGCTGTGCATAACATCACTATAAGTTGGAGATGACTCGACAGCACCTAACAACAACAACAACAACAACCGCCCCCTCTGCGCCTCTGAGAAAGTCTCTGTGCACAGGAGGCTATTAAAGCCTCAGGAAGTTCTGTGGTCAAGAAAACCTGCCTGACTTTGTTTCACCAGCTTTTCTCAAAGGTATTTGGCCACAGAAGCCCTGGCCCTTTTAGAGTAGTGCCCATCAATGGCCTCCAGACCATTCTTTGGGAAGCACTACTTTAGTTTAACTTTTTAATTTTAGATGCAGTAACTGAGGGTTACAGAGGACAGTGACTTATCCAAGGCCACACAGGCAGCTGGTAGCACTGACCTGTTCTGCTCCTATTTAATTTGAGGAACAAACTTGTTGATGGTGTAGAGCTGTCTTCCTGCCAGGATCCAGGCAGCAAGAGATGAGGTTGGGCAGACAAGGCAACAGCATGGGGGAGGCTGGACTGAAATTTGAGATCCAAACAAGGTTCCCGGCATTTGTGGTAACCAGGCTCTGAAAAACAAGATGTTCATGTCCAAATGGGTGCTGTGAGGTGTGGAACCCCTTTGCAGTAAACAATTTGGCCTTTGGTCCTAGTTCCTGAGAATGTGCCCATACCTGAGGCTGGTACCTGCTGGCCTAGTGGGGGTGACAGAGAGAGGGCTGTGTGGGCAGCTGGGATCTTGACTGACCAGGGAAGAATGGAGGCTGAGATTCCCATAGGATACAGCTGGCATGTAGAGTGGGATTCGTTGTCCACCACACAATTTGGTGTCAGAAAGTCAGTGATCTCAGCCTCTCTGGACTGGTGTGACACTGATTGACAGATATCAACAGCTGCTTCCTAGTCAAGGAGGACAAGCACCAGGAACCAGGAGGGCACTTGACCAGGAGTCTTCTGGGATAACCTGAGAATACCATTCATTCTCACCATGTACTGAGATGCTACATCATTATTTCCCAAACTGCATTCTATGAAGCCCTTACAGAGAAGGAAACTCAGGCTAAGAGAAGCTGTTGCTTCATTTGTTCACTCAACAAACATATTCACTTGCTTTCATGAGATGTTAATAAGCACTGAGCACAGCGTATTCTGGCATATCAGCTTAGGGAGTTCAGAACAGGTTGATGGCTGTAGGATGGTTCAGAATGTTTAGCATGCTAATGTCACTGTGAATCACCAGTAGTCAGGTGATATTCAGGGTTCCCAAATTTGTGTGACCAGAGAATTCTTTTTGCAAGGGGCATCTCTCTGTGGGTTTATTTCATGGACATAGGCTGAGAAGTTTAGGTCTAGAACCATGAAATTTATATTGACTTCTACCCCACTTCCCACTTCACCCTAAACTTTGCTGATTTTTCTGTATTTGAAAAGAAATTGATAGATGCGACCAGCAACCTTCTGGCCCTCTGACATTTGTTTTCCATATTCCAGAGCAAAGAGATTGGCCTGCAGATGCATGAGGAGCTCCTGAAGGTCACCAATGAGCTCTACACGGTAAGTCTGCACAGCCTCTACTGTAGTTTGGATTGGGGCCCTTTTCTTCAACACCCAGGACTGGAGGGAGGCTAAGCAGAGGTCTGGGATGACCCTGGGGCTTTTTGCTGTGTCTTATGCAGGAGTTACAATGGGTCTTCATGGCAAGATGTAATGTCCTCAATCCCAGATCTGATTCTAAACATCAGGGCAGGGCTCTGAGCATCTGTAGTTTTTAAAAGTTCACAAGAGAGTCAAATGGACCTTAGCCTGGCCTCCTTCCTGCTTGGTTGAAAGCTCTTTAACTCTGCCAGTAAGGGTCCAGAGGCACCTCACTCGGCCTGCAAGCCTTCTGCCCAAAGGCACTCAGCTTTCTCACTCCATGGACCAGGAATCCCACTTTGCCATCTCCAAGTGATCTCGTTTTGCAGCCTCTGCTGCCACTGTTTCTCTGCCTCTGCTTCTCACTATTTCCTGCCATTTCTGATGTTATATCTCTTCAGTCTAGGAGGCTTTCAGCATGGGGACAATATAGCCAAAGGACATGCTCCACTCCATCCCTACTTCTTGGTGGCAGTGGTCCCCCAGCCCCAACCTTGCCTTTGGGATGCCTTATTTTAAACATAGTTGGATGGCAAAATTGACCAATTCCCTTGTTAGCACTCCATACACCTAATTGCCATGGCCCCACCTCCACAAGGGTGCCACGCACCTTATTTGCATTATTAGCACGTTATCCAGTCCCCTTGGTGGGCCACAAGCACCTCATTACATAGTCTCGCCCAGTCATTTGATAAAAGTTACAAGACTTATGGCTAGATGGGCCATATGAAGTAATTCACTGCCAAGAAGCCAAGAAGGTGAGTGAAAAGGGGAACACAAGTACAGTAGGTCTCCTTAGAGAGAAAGGTAGAGAGACATAGGGTCAGCCTTGGGAAGCAAGTGAGGACAGGTAGAACTCCAGGCCCCTTTTTCTCACAGCGGTCAGAACAGAGTAAAAACTATATGTTTTAAATATATAGGGATTCCTTATCAAGTTTCCCATTAAGAAGGATGTAGGTGGGAAGTCTTCTAAAAGGGATGTCTTATAAAAGGCAAGAAGAGCCCTGGTGGTACAGTGGTTAAGGCTCAGAAGCTAACCAAAATGTAAGTGGTTCAAAGCCCCCAGCTTCTCTGAAAGAGAAAGATGTGGCAGTCTGCTTCTGGAGAGGTTACAGCCTTGAAAACCCTATGGAGTTATTCTATTCTATCTGATAGGTTTACTATGACTTGGAATTAATTTGACAGCAATGAGCTTAATGGAGGTGGGGAGAGATTCTGCTGCTGAAATTATATTTGAAAACCCCTAGTATGAAGGCACAGTGCTTAAGGCCCCAGGGAGCTCTAGTGGCGTAATGCCTAAGGCATTTGACTGCTAACAAGAAGGCTGCTGGTTCAAACCCACCAGCCACTCCATGGAAGGAAGGTTGGACAACCTAATTCCACAGAGATAGCCTCAGAAACCCAAGGAGGGGTCGCTAGATTTGGAAATGACTCAATGGCAGTAAGTTTGGTTTTGTTTTTAGTATGAAGGGAAGGAACAGCAGGCTGTAAATAGACACCTCTCTTTGATATTCTTATGCCCAGTGTAGCCAGCACATGATAGACTACTTGAGGATCAAGAGCCTTTGTCCAAGAGCCTGGACCTCAATTTGAAAGCATTGCCTTGAATTCCAACCAGTTTCAGGACTTTGGGCAAGGCAATTTTGCTCAAAGTTTTCTCAATCAGCAAAGTGGGGTGTGAGTTCCTAGGAAGGTAATTTTTAAGTTGAAACTCTTCGGTCTGTGATTCCAAGTACTTGAATCATTGCTTAGGGCAAAAAAAGAATTGCTGCTTGGGGAAACATATTGCTCTGATTCAGCTGGACATGGTGGAGGTGGGGGCACAAAGGGTAAGAATAGCTTAGTGGCTTAAAGCATGCACACTGAAGTCTCAGAGACCTGAGTTCCAATCCAAACTCTATCCCTTATGTTTGCACATTCGTGAGAATTAAAGGAGATCATATGTATAAAGTACCACTTAGAAGAAGGAAGACAACAAGCCCTGGTAGATCAGGAATTCTTAATATTACCATTATTATTTATACCTCTGAACGAGCCCTGATAGTGCAGTGGTTAAGTGCTGTAATAGGGGAGAAGAGACCCCCAGATTCAAATAGGTTTAATAGAGATACTATTATTTGGTTTAGATAGGATGAAGACAAGACAAAGATAATCATCCAGGATGAGGGAAACCATCAGCATGTTTCAGTACAGAAAGCTGAATGGAGTCCGCTGAGTCATGACCATTAGATATGATTGAAAAAAATAATCATCACAAAATCATGATTGGTGGCAGATAGATTCATCACTGTTGCAGGTGAAACTACAGAATTGGGGAAAGGACCATGCTTGGGATACATACAAAATTGAAGATAGAAAAGTGTTACAGGATTGGTTCTGGTCCTTGACTACCTGACTAGTTGGTGGTCTGGATATGACTCATGATCATACGGCCTGAATCACATGAACCATGTGGCTACAAAACAACACCAGGACCCCAACCTTAATTTAAATTAGAAAAAGACACACTCAGGTAAGTTTCCTAGTTCTTTGTGTGAGCATAATCTACTTTCAAACATACTCTTCCTGAAAGCAAAATGCTCCTCCCTAGGTTTGTACTAGAACTTGTCTGTGCATAGCCACAATGCTGATTTAATGGTCAGAAAGAACCCAAATGGTGTCTAAAATTTATGTCAGGCCTCAAAATGGAGTAGGGGTTCACCGTGGACCACAGCCTCCCACAACCCCAAGTGCTTTAGAATTTTAAACTCTAATACAGCGCTCAGTTGCTAATCAAAAAGTTGGCAGTTTGAACCCACCAGCTGCTGTGAAGGAGAAAGATGAGGCAGTCTGCTTCCTTGGAAACCCTATAGGGCAGTTTTCCTCTGTGCAATAGGGTCTTTATGAGTTGGGATAGATTCCACAGCAGTAGGTTTGGATTTTTTGGCTTTAGTCATATTGAAGTAGTATCCACCCCACTCCAGTATGACTTCATGTTAATTTAACTAATAATGTCGTCAAAGACCCTATTTCCAAACAAGGTCACATTCACAGGGGTTAAGACTTCAATATATTTTTTGCAGGGATAAAATTCAGTCTATAAACCACCATACGAGACAAAGAAGGACATTATATAATGGTACAAGGATCAATTGAACATGAAGATATAACCATAATAAATATTTATGGACCCAATGAAAGAGCCCCAAAATACATAAATCAGATGTTAAAAGAGTTGAAAAGCCAAATAGATGACTCCACA